CAAAAGAATTTATTTTTAAAAAAAAAAATAATTTCAGACTACCAGTATTGCAAATGTCTGTCAAGAATACTTAGCACATAGGCTGGGGTTTTTTTCCTTTTATTTATTATCAGGCTTGCTCTTGCCAAAGTCTGCCTAGAGTAGACGATCAAATGGTTTGAATGAAACAAGCCAATTCAAACATTTTCTGACAACAAAGTAAACAGTTATATCTTAAACTTGTTTTGAAATCCACCTTCTTCATATGGATTTTGAAGCAATATAGCCAAGGCACTATACTGGAAAACATCAACAAAACCCAAATATATTGCAGTTATTTCTCCCTGCAAAACCAAATTACTTGGACAATTAAGATGTGAAGGTTCTATCTCCTATATTCTTTAGCTTCCTGAAGCACCATTCTTCGCTGGGACATCTTCCAAAGCATTGTTTTTGAGTTTAATGAGCAAGCATAAATGCAACTAAAGCTGTCTTGTTAGTTTTAGGATTCCGAAAACTTAAAAAGAACATCCCAGTCCATTATTTCCAGCTTCTATTGGGTAAGCCAATGGGCACTTGGATGCATAAAATGAGTAGCTGAAAGTCTAGATGATGTTCTATGGGCAAACACTCCACCTATGGGAGGTACACATGTCTCAAGCTGAGGCACTCCAGACTGAGAGAACTTCACACAAGTTTGAGATCTATCATTATGCTTCAGGTATTTAATTTTACAAAGGTCTATGCAAGACTCAAGTCCATAGGCGCTGTATGACAGTCCTGTTTCCTGTTCCCACCTCAACATACCATGACTATGTACTTACTAACTGATGATGAACAACTGTGTGTACATAGTGAGTGCCAACTTGCTTCACAAAGGAAAATACAGGGACCATGCAGGGCATAATTTTAAATGGTCTCTTGAGAGCACTCAGAGGAAATCTTGCTTTCACTCTGACTCTCTCTCTCCTACTTCCTCACTACGAAGAAACTCCTCCTGTCACACCAAGCCTACGTTAGGATCACTGGAGAGTGATTTCCCCCAGAAATAGAAACAGGGTAGATGTGTAAAGCCATAAAGGCCTCCTTAGATCTTTACCTTCGTGCTATGGAGGGAGAATGGCAGTGTCACCAACTGGCCAAGCTGAACAGTATTGGCTGCAGGACCAGAGTTTGGCCAGAAGAAGATTTAAGGTTTGGATCAACATCAATACGGTTTAATTACTTAGGTGGATCCAAAGAGTATGTGTACGCACACACAAACCTGTACAAGTCCCGTGCATTACATTACTTATTACCAACTAACAGACAAGCCAAGACCATAACACTCACGCTACAAACAATGTACACAAAGGTGTAGTTATTTTGGCACACACCAAGGCTCACAGTCAGTTAAGAAGACAAGTACTAGTGCAACATATTACGTTTGCTTTAACATGAAGGTAAAAGGTTTGTTTCTTGGCCAGTGCAAACAGAGAATTCTCATTCATGGATGACAGGCACATGCCCCCAGAACACATGCATCACGGAAAGGCAGGGTTATGTTTTGAATACCATACATGCAGGCACAAAGAATTAAAATTTATTTTATAACTATGACAAGCCTTAAGGAAAAAACCCACCAACTACAACTTTAAAGTTTTGGTTTGGGAGAAAGACACACGATGATTTTCTCTACAGGTGGTTACAGATGGCTGGGATACCTACCACTTGCAAGCCAAACCCATAGCAGTCATTTGCCTTTTAGTTCTGGCTCATTCCAGCTATCATAAAAAGTACTAATTGAGACAACAGAGGGACAATACAGGTGACTGAAATGCTAATTCATGAACAAAGCTTTCTATAACGGCAAAAAGTTGTCAGAGGAATTTTTAATTTAGGTAACGTGTCAGTAAAACACATGGAAAATATACTTCAGCCCAAAGCATCTTTGAAGGACAACCTCTGTGCTGACAAAAACCACAAGTTGTGACATGCGAGTAGTTTTCAAATCTCCCTTCCCCTTCCCTAAACTGGAAAAAGAGATAAGAAATACTGTAGGGTTTTTTTTTTTTTAAAAAGTGGCTAGATCTTGGCCATTGTCCAACTATCAACATTTCTTTTGGGATTCCAAATATGTAGAGACAAAGCAGCAAGTTCTTCGAAATAAAATATCGCTGTCTGAAGCATCTTCTCAGGTCTAGATCCAAAGCTTACTATGGCACTGACAGGATTTCAAAGAACTCTGCATCATGTCCATGCGAAGTGCCTTGGTTCACAGCAGGGATTTTACACTGTCCACATAACGCAAAGGAAACTCTGGCAAAACCCCAGGTAGCTCCATCAGCCCCTTCTAAGCAAACAGAGTAGCGCAACATCCAGTCAGGGTCAGCCTGGATCTGTCTGCATTCTCAATTCCTTTGCACGCCTCCTGTCTTATGAGTGTGCTGGTCTCTCTCACATGGTGAACTAGCAACTTAAAACCTAATTATACCGTAAAACCTTCCTAACCAACCACTCACCCTGTGTAGCAACAGTCTGGCATTACTGACACTCAGCAATGAGAAAGCCTCTCACTTGTGCACCTGGGGTTGAACAGCACCTGCTATGCCAACAGCCAGCCAGAGCCAACAGCGTGCCAGAAGGGCTCGGCAGCTAGCTGGGCTTCACCCTCCATTCAGGCCAAGTCCAGACCTTTGCAGTTACCAGTGAGTTATGAGTCAAGTCTTACAGTCAACTGGAAGAAAAGGGGCACTGGTTTTACCTGTTACTTAGCTGAAGGATTTATCAACGGTTAGAGGCTTAGCCTTTTTATTCCTAAAAACCAGGACTACCCTGGAGCCTTCTTCAGGTGCACAGGCACCAGAGACATAGAAGAAGGTTCTCTACATTTAGACAGTTCACTACCATGTGGAAGAACAGCTATTGTTGGTAGTACAGTGTGCTATTTTCTGCCTCGGAGTGTGACAGGTCACCAGTGCAACACAGGAGTGGATAATCCTCAATTCCATGGAAATTTTTCTTCATGAACCTTTAGGAACTCTTGGAAAGGCTTCACAAAGCTGGATGCTTCTCATCCTGAGCATCCTTACATTAAAAATCTTCCCAGGTAACCAGAGCCAACCATGGGAAAAGCCATTTGAATCTTTACAAGAACATGTGATAAATTTTAGCAAATTTCTCTCCCTCTTCAAAACAAAATCCAAACTAAATCATAAACAAACAAAAAAATCTACAAGTCCACAAGGAAGTCCTTCCCATTGTTTGCTATTGTTGTTTTGGTTTCAGGCTGATGTATGGGCTCAAAGGGTCACTGGAGGCAAAATTAGAAGGAAGGCTTCCGTTCAACGTCAGAGAAACATGAACAGTTTAAGGGCTGAAAACCAGTGCTCTGTTTCCAGACACTGGCCAAATATAGACTGTTGACCTGCATGGCACAGGACAGCACAAGCTGCTCATGAAATTTCATGTACTCTGAGTGGGATGCTGATACGGGTGGGGGGAGAGCAACAGATTTATTAACCTGTATTCAGTCGAACATAAAAATCAGTGCACGAGCTCTTCCTGAAAGAAAGCAAAACAGAACTGCTAGCAGCTGGTTTTGAATACTGAAAATCTTATTTTTCATAATTTTAGAGAAGTACAGTAATACCTGAGGGTACTTGTTCAGCTCTTGCAGAAAATTGGACCAGCCTTTTAGCTCCTTATTAGCCAATATAAAAAACGAGTTATTTTTATTCCTATCAAGCTGTTTTGGCATTCTGGGCCCCAGGCAGGTCACACTCAGCTGCCTGTACCTTAAGCCTGTGGAACTGGTTCTCCTTCTACAGCAGTGGAAAGCCCTTCCCATGAATACTATTACTCCCAAGTCAGGCAGCAAAAGCGAACAGAGAATGAAATCCCTTGGCTTCAAACACACTAACATAAAACGTAGCCTAGTTATAATACTATATTTTTGTGGGCAAATTGCACCTAATTACATAGATATTAATTGTAAATGTCCTTATTCCAAGGGATGTAAAGTTCCTTATGTATGTTATAGCTTAAAGGGAATATGTGCCAATGTATGTGCATATTAACATTCTCTTAATAGCAATCTGATTGGCAGTGTTTAGTCATAATCAATATTTTAAAGCATTATTAGCTTAATGCCCCCTTCATTTCAAATGTGAGGCAGTGCAAACTTGAAAACAGACTGCAAAAAGCTTTAAAAGACTTTTTTAGCAATGTCTTGTTCCTCACCTCTCAGGTTAGTACAACAGCTCCATGCAAATCTGGCCAGTCAGAACCACGCTACAGTACACACAGCAACAAAACAAGCACAAAGTATAGACAGGAGGAAAGTAAGGGCTGGTATTTTCCACATCTTTCTGTTGACATCAAATACTTTAGAACCTATATTGTCCTAGAAATAACTTTTTTTTTTTTTTTCAGTTTTTCATGAGTGGCACATGACACGTACAGGCTAGCACCTTGTGTATTTCAACCACTTACTCCCCAATAGTATATTGTTGAATGTTTTAAGAAAAGTGCCAGATCCTGTCTAAGACATTTTAGAAAAGCCCCAAAACAGTAGTCAAATCAAACTGCATAAATAATGGGATATTCTTCAGAAAGACTGCTATGAAAGACCCTCTTTTCAAGAGGTTCTCTTCAACATCATCAGGGCAACTGGACGTTAGGAATGTTTGATATCTTTTGCTTGAATTGACAAAGTGTGGTATAACCGCTCT